TGTGACGACAGCCCAATGTAGTGGACAATATATCATGGCGTTGCTATTGAGATTGACCTTGTACTCTTTGATGAGTTCTAACTTCCGCTAGATCCTTTACGTCATTCTCCGATGCATTAATTGTAGAAAAACTTGGTTTAATTCTACAGAGATCACAAAGAAAATGTCACATTAACATGATGACACTTTTCTCTGTAAGTTCTTTCGTTTGTAGTAACCAATGTCTAACTTTCTTTATTTGACATAAATGTGTCTCAGCGGTTGGAACGTGTGCGTGCAAATATAAAAAACATGGAGCTTGTAACAGTTTCTCAAATGATTCTAAAACGGAGTTCTCGCCTGCGAGTGTTTTTTCGTCAGTATGTTTCAAGAGCAGCTCCCATATTTCAAGTTGTACATCCTTGTCGCTAGCCAGATCTATGCTTGATTTGCCATTTAACTTGGCGTCGATGAAAGTTTTTAGGTATGCGTTGTCGACCAACTGTTCAACCATTCTAATGTTATTTTCAGGAACGGCTTTTTGGAGCTTCTGTGTAAGCGATTCTTCATCATCAGCCATCCTCCGCTAAAAAAAAATTCTGTAAAAAAAATTTATATATTCAAACCATCATATAACATGTTTATCATTCCTTAGAGAAAGAAGGAGAAGAGGTTAAAAAGTTTCGGATCTCAGTCAATACATTCTGTTTGAAAAACTTCTTTGATAATCCTTGATGTTTCTTCTTAAATACTGATGAGAATATGTTTGTTTTGCTATATCATGCTTTTTACAATAGAGGAGGCATTGAAGTTCTTTGGTTGTTTCCTGGAACAACTGCCATAATATTCTTTCGTTTATATAGTTGTGGCCTGTTATCAATTTCTCGCATAAGGAATATTCCTCGTATCACACTGCACGGAGTGTGATACGAAAAATGCGTTAATTTGATTGGCTAACTCAATATTATGGATCATTGGCGAATGCTGTTTGTTTATTTTACATTAGCTACATTTATAGAGCGAGATGAGATTCACAAGGCATGTTTAACCCAGCCGCATTTTTGTGCCTGTTCAAAGTCAGGAACCTCTGATAAATTCATTTAAGAGAAACTTCACTAAAGCAGCGAAATATTCTGAATTCAATAAAATTGAGAATGGAAATGAAGAATGTGCCAAAGAGACAACAACCCGACCAAAGAGCAGAAAACAGTGGAAGGCCACCAATAGGTCTTCAACACGGCGAGAAAATCCCACCCCCGGAGTCAGGTTTTAGCTGACCATTTATCCTTACACCACAAAACCGAAACTTCAAAAATCTAAAATGTACTATGGACACATTCTTGTTTATGAATGTAAACGTATTAATTTTGTTTTCATATGAAGTAAATTTACGCTCTACTAGATAAGTGGTCACTGGTGGTGTATTGAAAACGAAAGCACATGTCCGATAAAAAATAAGAGAATAAAAAAAAATATTCGGGTTTACATGAACATTATAAACATAAGATCTGTCAAAATTTTGTCGACATTAATATTAATAAACAACATACAATATTAAGACATATAAAACACACACGTGACACATACACATGGTAATGTTTTTAGAAGTATAAAGTATTCTATCATTTAAATTTAAAAGTTAAATGACTTAATTCATTGGTACAAATGCAATTCAATGCAAGAACTTATTACTGCTTTGACGCTTTATTTACAATACTTCATACGGATCACACGAGGTGTGGTCAGGATACACTTAACATGCCAAGAAATTGCCTCCGTTGAAATTCTGCAAATATCCCATGGAGCAAATTACATGGATGATTAATATTGACCATTTGGTATCTTGTCGTATTCTAAACGACACGTACATGAAGGTCATAAATTAATTTGTTGAATGAAATCAAATCTTTAACTACTAATGTGTGCCGTAGGAGGTCGACCGGAATTTTTAGCGAGGATTTCTTGGCATGTAACAGATTGAAAACTCAGGGTTAGAATTCATAGAACAGAAAAAGGGGCAGTGGCAAATATTTCGTGTATATTTCCTACACAGAGGGATTAACCCGGCTGCCTTTGCCCAAAAAAAAATTAATTTTCTTCTATGTGCCTTCGGACTTTATGTTTTGAATTGTAGTTTCACTTTCCATATTAGGTATTTATTCTAATGTAAGCTCCGCGTGGTAGAAATCACGTGATGCAGGAATATAGTATCTTGGAAAGGCTATTTCTTTCTTTGCGGGCGGGCACTCCCAGCAAACATAATGAATGTGTATAACGGCATTGTAGATTTTCTTATTAAATAAAGAAAGTTGCCTGTCCGGTACATGAATAGATCGGTTAGAAAGCAAGGTTTTAATAAGATTGGAAACCTTAATTCGAGGGTTGAAAATAGAGAGCACAAAAAAAGGGGGGGGGGGGTGGGGGGGGGTATTTTTATCTTATGAACTCTACATTTGAAAGATATATTTTTTTTTTATTTAATTAAAAGGGAGAAACACAAATGTAAGACAAATAGTGAATGGTCTTTCTTCCTTTCTCCCATGCCAAGAAATTGCCTCCGTTAAAATTCTGAAAATATTCCATGGAGCAAATTACATGGATGATTAATATTGACCATTTGGTATCTTGCCGTATTCTAAACGACACGTACATGAAGGTCATAAATTAATTTGTTGAATGAAATCAAATCTTTAACTACTAATGTGTGCCGTAGGAGGTCGACCGGAATTTTTAGCGAGGATTTCTTGGCATGAATGCTTAAGTGGTTTACTTTTATAAATTAAACCTATAATGGTTTACTTTTATAAATTGTGACTTGGTTGGAGAGGTGTCTCATTGGCACTCATACCACATCTTCCTATATCTATTAAGGGCCATGAGTGGTAGGAAAACTCCGGCGGACCGTCTCCGACAAAGTAATGATTTGAAAGAGGGGTTGTACTATTTATATAAATGTTGAGATTCACTTGTACATTAAATGCAATTAATGGTTATAGTTTCTAGCTAAATGAATACTTAAATAAGACGAAAATTATCTAGATTAAAAAATGTGTAAGTTTATTTGGCTTATGTCATCGGAGGATGAATTTTTTACTCTATTGAAATGATATAAAAAGAGATAATAAATATAGGAAAAAACTATCCCAGTCTATTTTCCTCGAATGTGACATTCCGAATTAGACTTATTACCCGGTTTGTACTCAAATGAGCAACAAGACGGGTGCCACATGTGGAGCAGGGTCTGCTTAGCACCAGAGATCATCCCCTGTGTTTTTTGGGGTTCGTGTTGTTCAGTGTTAGTTTTTTCTGTGTTTTGTGTTTTGTGTGTTAATGTTATTGTTGGGTGTTTAATTTGTTCATCGTTTTATGCTATGGCCTTGTAAGTTTGTAAGTTTGTTTTCGACTTAATAATTTAAATGTCCCTCTATCTGTAAACCCCACCAAGACCCTTATGCATGCATAGTAATCCCACAGGGTTGGCTACGCACTTCATAACGCTCGTTTTGGTGAACGTGTGGTTCTAAAAGTTTTTGTTTGTTACCTTTATTTGAATGTTTTTATGGATTTTTTTTTAAATTTAACATCAGCATACTCTTTTTGCCTCTAGAATGACAATTGTTTGGCCCCGTTCGGATATATATAGCTCCTAAACGTCTTTACACCCCTGTTTTTCAAATGTTTTTGGTCAATTATTCTCTACATTTCATATTTAGCACCCTTTAATTCTGTAACCTTTGATTTTTTTTGTGGAAAATTCAGTTTTCTCATTTTTTTTAAAATTAATATTATTTGAGCACTTTATTCTGCATTTTTTTTTATCTATTATTCTCTTTTAAGTAAATCAATAAATGGATGAATAACAAGAATGTAAGAAAATGAAAGGAACTGAAAGGAACTGAAGGATAACACACGACGGTGGACAAAAAGATGAGTTCAACTTCCCAATTGTGAACTTTCTATTTCTATGTAGCAACTTTCTAGTAGCACCTCTATATGGAGTATATATCTCGTACGACATTCATGATCGTGCATTTCCTATCATAATTTCTTTCCAAGGTAGTTGTGGAACCAAAATTTTAAATGGGTGAAGTTGAAATAATCTATTCGAAAAATTTACAAACGCCCTCACGAGTTGGTTGAGCGTTTCACGGAGGACGATGGATATGTTCAATAATCCCGGTCTATTTTCCAAGAATGTGTCATACCGAATTAGACTTATTACCCGGTTTGTACTCAAATGAGCAACAAGACGGGTGCCACATGTGGAGCAGGGTCTGCTTAGCACCAGAGATCATCCCCTGTGTTTTTTGGGGTTCGTGTTGTTCAGTGTTAGTTTTTTCTGTGTTTTGTGTTTTGTGTGTTAATGTTATTGTTGGGTGTTTAATTTGTTCATCGTTTTATGCTATGGCCTTGTAAGTTTGTAAGTTTGTTTTCGACTTAATAATTTAAATGTCCCTCTATCTGTAAACCCCACCAAGACCCTTATGCATGCAAAGAAATCCCGCAGGGTTGGCTACGCACTTGATAACGCTCGTTTTGATGTACGTGTGGTTCTCAAAGTTTTTATTTGTAACCTTTTTTTGAATGTTTTAATGGATTTTTTTTAAATTTGAACAATAGTATTCTCTTTTTGCCTCTAGAATGACAATTGTTTGGCCCCGTTTGGACATATATAGCTCCTATGTTTCTTTACATACCTGTTATTCAAATGTTTAAGTACAATCGTGCCTTGTGAAGGTAAAAAATAAGAAGCGCTTCGGATGCACGAAAGTTATTAAAAGTGTTAATTTCATTTTCGACTTACACATGCTTAGAAAAACCAAAGAAAACAACCGTTGTCCAAAACTTTTTTGACACAGTTGGCGTATTTTGTATTTATGTATTCAGTGCAAAAAAAAAATGCGGCTTGTGCTCTAAATATTGCCAAAAGTTTTTGTTAGCCAATCATTGCTAGATATCTTTAAAAAAATAACACCATTTATAACGTCACAGAAAACATTAGAATTATTACGTGAAGTCTTATATTTCGAAGGTTAGACAAGGCAGATTTGAAACTTTTTCAATTTACAATTGGTTAAAAGATGTGTTTTCATTAGTAATTAGTTTTCGTGTATGATAAATAGTTATCACATATAAATAAATAGTAAGTACATACAAATAAATAGCACATATGAACATATAAATGAATAGTAAGTACATACAAATAAATAGCACATATGAACATATGAATAAATAGTTATCACATATAAATAAATAAATATCATAACGGTTTTGCATTTGTATTGTCCTTCTATAAGAATCATCAAATATCGTGTTATCAAAATTTCTAACGTGTGAGGCGTAAGGCAAGAAAACTTTAGTATTTATTCAGCCCCTAATGTATGTACCAGTTGTAAGATTTTAACTCTGAAGGTCATACAAAAAGCGTATTGGTCTAGCATTGATACCAGCAAAATGGTTTTATTTTTATATTAATTATAATAATTGTATCTGTAAGGTTTGCAAAATTTGGTGATTTTTAAAACGAAAATGGCAATTATCTGAATACTTTTCATTGAGACAGCAGTCACACTTCTTGTTGGAATAAATACATTAAAGTAAGTATTCTGTTCAGTTTCTTGTTATCCAGTCATTTTTGACAATGTCATGCAGTGTTAAATATATGATTGTTATCCAGTCATTTTTGACAATGTCATGCAGTGTTAAATATATGATTGTTATCGAGTATTAATGCTCTGGAAGAGGAAGAATTCTGTGAGTAGGATTCTTTGAGGTAGAGGTAGAATTCTTTGAGGTAGATATAGGATTCTTTGAGGTAGAGGTACGATTCTTCGAGGTAGAGGTCGAATTCTATGAGGTAGAGGTAGAAATCTTTGAGGTAGACATTATCATCATTGCTACTGAAAAAGTACTGAAGATTTGTTGCACGTGACAATGCCCATTAGTCTCGGTCTAAGGTTTATATAGTATCGGGTGTCAACAGAATGCTCGGCCAATTCGTTCTATGATCGAAACTGAAATCAGTCTACGAATATGTTACAATCAGGCTTATATAGTATCTGGTGTGAACAGAATGCTTGGCCAGTTCGTTCTATGGTCGAAACTGAAATCAGTCAACGCATATGTTATAATCGTTGGTTCTTTATCTGTAGATCTTTGTGCATTAACCGATTTAATAAAGTCTATTCCTTTCTTTTCCAGAACAAATTTACATGTGGGCGACAAAAGAGCATGTGTATCCCAGGGACTTGTGTTTGCATTGTTGATGATGATACAAAGTCCACAGCTCATGCATTCGATCACGTGTTCAAACCCGTTGCGATAAAATCCGGCATCAGCAAACTTTTGAAAATCTTCATCCCCATTATCTTCCATAGACAGGTCTGAATTATCAAACTTCTTATGGTGTACTCGATACGGCGGGAATCTCGCTGGAGCTAATGTTTGTTGCACATAGGGGCATAACGGCATGTAACTTGCATGATATAACATTGGCTCAAGGTCCATAGCTGACAAAGGAATATGCCATCCACATTGAAAACACTGCATGCGGTCAGGTTCAGCTATGCATACAAATCCTGCCAGCGCAATCGTCTCTCTTCTACTCTTGTCCTCTATGTTCTTTAAAGTTTCTCTTCTCTTGTTTATATCTTCAAATTCAGGCAGAAATGGAACTTGCATTTTACTTGCTGCTTTGTTTAACAGTGCATAAACGACACTACCAAACATATCATTAATGTAGTAGGCATGTGACGGTTTGTATTCTCCACTCACTGAACAAGACACAGACCACAAATTACTTTTAGAATGGGGATTGTATGCATCCATAACACATTTCATCAACTCCAGTAAACTTGTACTCATCTCACTATTACCGAACTTTTCCTTCTCAGTTTCGAGGAAATCATCGGTAAATCCCAAACTAATTGTTGTATTCAGATCGCATAAAAATCCACAGTCTTCGCAAGCTTGTGGGACATTTAACTTAGTATGCTCATTAATATGTTTAGAGAATTCGGGAAGATCGATTAAGAAGTTCTTATTCCTGGCTGTTATCAGCACCCCATACAAGTCCATGTCCATTTGTTGGAGAAGAAGGCCCTTTGACGAAACAAAATTTGATGCTCCTGTATTGGCATGTAGGATGGAATACCCTGGTATAATTGTCAATAGTTCAGTTTTGAGGTTCGAAACCCAATTTGTGTTAAATCTTATAATTGATGTGTCCTTAAGACAAAATAAACCATTGACGGACGAAACTTTGCCATCTGTTATCAGTGTGATGATTTTTCGCCTTATACTTGGTTCGGTGCACGCGGCCTTTATCATATGACTGCATATTTTGTTTACAGATAGACTTTTAGAAAAAATTATCAGTACTTTTCTAGACTTTGCGACGAGACTAAATGCAGTATCGAAAGTGTAACTGCCTGGGATGCCATGTTCTTGTAAAGAACTAAAGGAAATATTCTCTGTTTCTAAGACCGGAAGTATATCTTCCCTAGCTTGTTCATCACTGTCGTCATAAAAAACAAATAATTGATATGGTTCTGGTCTCTGCACGGAACTAGCGTCCATGCTTTACTGTGCAATCAGCTATATGTGTTCAACTCATGATTGGAATCTTAAAAAAACAAACATAGAATAGAAGAAAAAGTTTTGAGAAAAAATAAGAATTAAAATATTTCAGTCTTAGATATATGATTTTGTATTAAAAAAAAAAAAGTTGGTTTGGAAAAGTTATGAATAAAATTAAAGTGTACTATCTGAATTTTGTCCGAACTGCAAATTCGAGCTTTTTTCACGAAGATTATTTTAATTTTTGAATTTGACAGCAATATATCAAACTACCTAGTTACTTAGGATTCAGTAAGATAAATCTATAACTCAGTTAGCTGTATAGTTTGATTGAAATCCAAGGTAATTTAAAAAAGTTATGAAAAATGTTATAGTGTACTATCTTAATTTAATCAGAACTGCAAATTCTAGGTTTTTTGACCAAGATTATTTTAATGTTTGAATTGACAGCAATACACCAAACTGCATAAAACAACCTTGGATTTAGTAAGTTCAATGTATTACTGATATAGCTGTATAGTTTAATGTAAATCCAAGTTGGTTTGAAAAAGCTATGAATAAAATTAAAGTGTACTATCTGAATTTAGTCCGAACTTAAAGTTCAAGCTTTTTTGACAAAGATTATATTAATTTTTGAATTTGACAGCAATATATCAAACTACCTAGTTACTTGGGATTCAGTAAGATAAATATATAGCCCAGTTAGCTGTATAGTTTGATGAAAATCCAAGGTAATTTAAAAAAGTTATTAATAAAATTAAAGTGTACTATCTAAATTTAGTCTGAACTGCAAATTTGAGCTTTTTTGACCAAGATTATTTGACCTTTTGAATTTAACAGCAATACACCAAACTGCATAACAACCTGGGATTTAGTAAGGTCAATGTATTACTGATGTAGCTGTATAGTTTAATGAAAATCCAAGTTCGTTAGAAAAAGTTATAAATAACATGATTTTTTATTAGTTGTTATTGGCTTGGAACTAGGTCAGTAACTGAGAGCACTCTCAGATCTGTACTTAATGTCTGTTTTTTTTATGTATTAAGTACCTGTCCACGTCCACTCTGTTGTTTGTTAGATGTATTTCTATTTGTATCCTACTGATCTGATGAGCTAAGCCTTTTTCAACTATTTTTTTTATAATTTGTTCTTATGTTGTATTGTTACACCACTATACCTTGTTAGGGGGAAGGTTTGGGCGCCCGCAAACATGTTTAATCCATCCATATTCTTTATGTGCCACTACCAAGTCAGGAGCAGATAATAAAGTGGTTGTCGTTTGTTGCTGTACATAATTTTTGTTTTTGGTCCATTGTTTTGTCCATAAATCAGGCTCTTAATCTGCTCGTTTGAATTGTTTTTCATTTTTCATTTCGGGGCCTTTAAATTTATAGCTGGCTATGTGGTATGGGTTTTGCTCATTGTTGAAGGCCGTACGGTGACCTATAGTAGTAAACTTCAATATCATTCAGTCTCTGGTGGCAATCACACCACATCTACTTAATTTTATAATCAGACTTTGTTGAATATTTTATTCCCATCATTGTGGAATAAGTCAGTATTAAGAAAAGTGTAGAAATCTATTAAAATTGCTTAAAACTTGCTTAAACCCTCATTTGTTTATCATACGTTAATGTGTCTGTTCAAAGACAAAACATCTTTAGTTATCATTTTGGTTTGTTTTTAGGGATTCTATTTTGTATATAAATGGCAGATCTGTGACGGTCTCTTAATTCACCAGAGTTTTTGAAAAGTAGTGGTCCGAAGAATTTTCAAAGGATTGACATAATTTTGGTGTTTCGCAAAATAAATAATAGTGAGGACCAGCAGATAGTTCCTATATCTGTGGAGTGAGATGCAAACACTTGTTTCGGGATGGATTTTTTTCCAACGTGCAATAATAGTACACTAAATGAAGATGGAAAATAAGGTTTAACCATTTGATAACGTAACGGATATGGTCCGAAAATGAAGAATTTCGTACATGAAATGGTGACGTAAATCTGTCTTTCAATTTTTGGTTTTTTAATTAAAAACGACACTTTACTTAGATAAACACTCATTACAGTATAAACATATTGTAAGAATAAAGGAGACTCGTTAATTTAAATTTACTTAAATTATAATTTAAGGAATGAAATCAGATCATGAAAAATAGGTATCAAATATATTCGTTTAGTATATGTTTACTTGCTTTTGTTGATATGTCTGTTGATTGAGTTAAGCCATTTCAATTGATATCTTATAGTGTGTCTTTCTATGTTGTAATGTTACACTACTGTCTCAGGTTAGGGTAAAGGTTGGCGCCTGTTAAAACGTTTAAAACCGCTGCATTTGTTTGCACATGTCCTAAGTCAGGAACCTGTTGTTCAGTGGTTGTCGTTTCTCGTTTTTAATATAGATTAGACCGTTGGGTTTCCTGTTTTAATGATTTTACGCTAGTCATTTTGGGGCCCTTTATAGCTTGCTGTTCGGTGTGAGCCAAGGCTCTGTGTTGAAGACCGTACTTTGACCTATAATGGTTTACTTTTACATATTGTGACTTAGATGGAGAGGCGTCACATTGGCACTCATACCACATCTTCTTACATGTATCTAGAACCGTTGTAACGTGTTCGCGTATACTAGAAATTCCCATTTCTAATTATAGAATAATAAATAACCTGTTATTTCTCTATTATCAAAATTCATTAAATAAGAGGGAAGTAATAGTTTGGAAAAAAACGAATTTTAACAAAATTAAAAATGATTTTTTAATAAATAAAGAACTATCTTACCGTTTCATGCCACAAAGTATGAAGGACAAAGCCATTTTGTTTCTTTCAATGAGCATGCCCAATGTATCAATAGAATTACTCTTGCATTAAATACTGTAACTGTATGATATATTTATAAACTTAATTTTTCCAATCAATAAAAGATAAGTAAACATTATTTTATTTCCCATTTTGACGAATGGATTTTTTTTTAAAGTTTAAATCCGGGAAATATATCTGATGTATTGGACTTTTAAAATATAGATCTTTTACTTTTTGTGGTTTTAATAGCCATTAGCACACCGTGAGAAAGCGACGCGTAATCAGACATATTTAAATTACATTATAGTATACAACCAAATAACATGTGTCTATAACAGCGAGACATAACGTGTATCATTAATGATTATACATAAATTGTATTATGTTACCTGTTGGGTAATTTTTAAAATTTCCCATTTTTTGTCCTAATTCAGTCACCCATGCATAAGACGACTGAGGATAATGACTTGACATATAATACAGACTTTTAAAACAGTATATAATATAGTTTGCTTTAGTGTGTTTATGGAGTGTTTAGTTTTTGTAAATGGGTGAGTCATATATATACATTGTTACTTACTGTATTTTCAAATGGTCTTACATTGGTCTAATATACATTTGTGATAGATTATAAAATACTGTGCCCTATAGGTTTTGCTACATGTATGTGATTGTAGCAGGTAGATTCTCGTTTTAATTCTTCGTACACAACAAAATCAAGTTTACTTGTACATTCTCCATTCCCTTCATTGTTATTCAACTAATGGAGATAAGAAAACAAAAGGAAGGTTGATAACTTTGGTAAACCAGCCACAAGTCATGTGTTGCGTTGTTTTTTTTTTTGAGTCTTGTTACTATTTTAACAAGGAAACACGGCTCTAGTTTATTGCGCCTTTTTAACCATGTTCCTAAATTTAGGCGAAAATACCAGAGATAATCAAACTCAAAAGTCGAAAGAGAACAAACAATGCCAAAGCAGATAACAAAAAACGACAAAAAGGCTGTATAAAAAAACACAACACTATGGGCGCAAGAAATTTGGGCTAAACCATAAGCCTGACCAGGATATCATTTGGGTTCAAACTTATGCAGTCAAGTTTACATTTGGGCTAATTATTTTCTAACCTGTATAGGTAATTTACAGGTAAATTTATCATATTTGATATGATACATACAAGATATCAAACAAAACAAAATTACAACTTACATAAAAATATGGTCATTGGGAAGCCATACTAGTTTAGAAGAAAAAGAACTTTAAGTTTTACACCATTTGATATAAATGGGCATTTTTAAAGGCTGTTAGATTTAAATTTAAGATCAGAACCAATCTTTGAGAAAAATCTATTGGATGTACTTTTATTAATCTTAGAATAGCTGTTTTATACCTGGAATTCACGTTGTACATAGTTTAAACAATATTTGTGATATAAAGACTTGTTTTGCTTAAAATCCCACTTTCACAACCCCGTGGTGAGCAGGAGGGAGAACACACTGTATAGCTAATAGAAGGGGTACATAATAGAGGAACATGTTATCAATAGAATGTCATTTATTACATATAAAATATAAATTTATAATCAAAATATAAATATTTTACATGTAATGTACCTTTACTTGCGATGATAAGCCCAAAATGTCGACTTTGAAATTTATCTCAAATGTCGACTTGTGATTGGTTCAAACGAAACATTTTTTAGCCCAAATTTTACACCAATTAGCCCAAACGTGCTTAGCCTCTTTCAACTGATTTTTATAGTGCGTTCTTATGTTGTACTGTTACACCACTGTCCCAGGTTAGGGGAGGGTTGGGATCCCGCTATTATGTTTAACCCCGCCACATTCTGTATGTATGTGCCTGTCCCAAGTCAGGAGCCTGTAATTCAGTGGTTGTCGTTTGTTTATGTGTTACATATTTGTTTTTCGTTCATTTTTTGTACATAAATTAGGCCGTTAGTTTTCTCGTTTGAATTGTTTTACATTGTCATTTCGGGGCCTTTTATAGCTGACTGTGCGGTATGGGCTTTGTTCATTGTTGAAGGCCGTACGGTGACCTATAGTTGTTAATTTCTGTGTCATTTGGTCTCTTGTGGAGAGTTGTCTCATTGGCAATCATACCACATCCTCTTTTTTTATATATCTCGCAAAACTAAAGACTGAGCAACACGAATCCCACCTAAATGACCAATCAGCTATATACTTTACTGACTACACAATCAATATAAGCCTACCGATTTTTTTTCTAATAGCCTAACTTATATTGTGATTATATTCATAACTACTCTCCATGAATGGAGAAAAAACTCAGAAAAAAATGAAATAATTCGGAAACATGGTTCAATGTAGAGACAGGTAAAGTGTTAAACCAAAAAGAAAGGCTATGATAAAATTTATAAATGTTAATACAAAACTGATAGACGTGCATTCTATCATAATTAGGCAAAATAATCAAACAAGAAAGGTCGCTTTTTGCATTTGCCATCAGTTTCTATATGTTTAGGGGTAGCTCATTTATTTCTAAGAGAATTTGAATTCCATGGCTGTCAATAGTGAAAATTTTATTTTACTTTGACAGAACTATGCCCGTATATATACGAATCAAAAGTTATCTTATAAAGCCACCATTTAGTCAGGACTTTGATCAAGTTTTAAGATGTGTTCACTGAAATAAATGCTTCTATAAATACGAATAAAAAGTCATGTTATCTATCAAAAAAAGTATCATATTAATATAACGTCATTATAAAGTCAGGACTTTTAAGTGACCACGTTTGAATATTTGTGTCTGTATGAAGTGGGAGATTATTGAAGAAGTAAATAAAATTGAGAATGGAAATGGGGAATGTGTCAAAGAGACAACAACCCGACCACAGAACAGACAACAGCAGAAGGCCACCAACAGGTCTTCAATGCAGCGAGAAATTCCCGCACCCGGAGGCGTCCTTCAGCTGGCCCCTAAACAAATGTATATACTAGTTCAGTGATAATGAACGCCATACTAAACTCCAAATTGTACAGAAGAAACTAAAATTAAAAATAATACAAGACTAACAAAGGCTAGAGGCTCCTGACTTGGGACAGGCGCAAAAATGCGGCGGGGTTAAACATGTTTATGAGATCTCAACCCTCCCCCTATACCTCTAGCCAATGTAGAAAAGTAAACGCATAACAATACGCACATTAAAATTCAGTTCAAGAGAAGTCCGAGTCTGATGTCAGAAGATGTAACCAAAGAAAATAAACAAAATGACAATAATACATAAATAACAACAGACTACTAGCAGTTAACTGACATGCCAGCTCCAGACTTCAATTAAACTGATTGAAAGATTATGTCTTCATTAAAGGAATATCAGGCACAATCCTTCCCGTTAGGGGTTTAGTATCATACCATCATAACATATATGAGAAATTTGTTTTGCAGCAATGTTCTGGCAAAAAATCATTCCCCGTTTTCTCAAAGCTGTGCAAGAAACAGTATTGTAAAACAGAATGAAATATCAACCTAACAGCACGTATGAATAAAAGGAGTATTCATTTAAAGAAAAAAATTGAAAGCATGTTTGTCTTGCTTGCAATAAGAAAAATTATGATTGCCAATAGGACAACTATCCACCAAAGTTTAAATAACGTGGATGTAAGCAATTATATGCAACCGTACGGCCTTCAACAATGAGAAATAGTCAATGTCTACATTGTTGAGCAGCGGTTCATCAGTAATATAAAAAAATCACTGCAGAATATATAAATGCTTCTCTTTGATCAAATCTATTTTTAAGTACTTGTATGTTAACATGAATATTGATGTTATGGGGTGGGACTAATCTGTGCATTCACCATATATGAAGCTCCATAAAGGGAGGGGGATATCCCTCCTTAATCCACCACGGAGTTTCATCGTTTGTATCTCAACCAATTACCCATTTAATGTAACTATGGTTGTGTAAATAAATGTTGTCTGTTGTATTTCATGTGACTAGAAAAAAAGATAGTTTGCTAATGCATCAGCAGCTTTTGTCGTCATTTTCCCAACAAATGTGTCATAAAATAAGCGGGAGTAAAAGAAATTGTTGAGACATATATTTTCCACTCTATGACTAGAAAAATAAATTCACCAAAGTTTTGAAATATATTTACAGATCTGTAATAAAAAAAATCTATAGTCAGTACAGAATTGCAAGTATCTCTTTTCTTCAGTTACAGAACCTCACCGGTATAATTTGAACTAAAACAAATCATAATCATGACCAAGAAAAAGAAACAAAACAATGGAACAATGAAAGGACAGGTAAACAAAGGAATGGACACGTCCAGTGTGTTCACGATCGAATCGAGTGCATCCAATTGGCGCGAGTCAAGAGAAACACTCACAACAGATACGCACACGCCAGTTCAAATGTCTCGAAGAAATTCTTTTTCATCCGCAATGGAGAGTGGCAGTATATTTTCTGGAAGTATTGGGTCCGTGCCATCAAAGGCGAGTGCATTATCTACGGACGCATTGTTATTGAAGCAGAAAACATCTTCAGAGGATATCGAAGGACAATCTACCGAACGCGAGTCGTGGGATAATAAAGTGCAATATCTCTTAGCCGTTGTCGGGTTTGCAGTTGGACTTGGAAATGTCTGGAGATTTCCTTACCTAGCACAGAAAAATGGTGGAGGTAAGCGAGGCTTCATCAATTGTCTGTTAGGAAGGGGTATCTCTATGTGTGGTGTCACTGAATACAAGTTCCATTATGATAATTGTTTAAATGAAATTATCTATATTACAATATTAGTTGATAAAGGGTAAATAATATTTATTCCATTGATCCAGAGAATTTTCTGTTAATATAAAAAAAAAGATATGGTATGATTGCCAATGAAACAACTCTCCACAAGAGACCAAATAGCACAGAAATTAACAGCTATAGATCACCGTACGGTTTTCAACAACTAGCAAAGCCAATGCCACAAGACAGGTACTCACAAACGTTGACAGTGGTACTGTTTCTCCTTTTTGAAGATCATAATTATCAACATGGTAGTCCT